CTAAAAAAACCAACGCAGGCCCAGTTGTAGTTGGGAATCAGTGTTGCGGGAAACCGAAGCAGGTGACTGGCATGGAGGGGACCTGGGCAGAGACCTGTGCGGAAGGATGTTTGAGTTGAGACCTGGAGAGGAGGGAAAAGTCTTCCAGACCCAGGGGAACCCATGTGAACGGTCCTCCTGTGACAGCGCAGCAGGAGTGGGGGGGCGGGGGGACATGCGGAAGGAGGAGAGGTGGGGCCGGCCAGGCAGCACCAGCTGACCCAGGCCCAGGGGCACGTGGGGTCAGAGGGCACTGGCTTACACTCTCGGGGCCTCACTCGACCTCTCAGAGCCAGAGTGCCCTCCTCTGTGAAGCAGGTACAGCAAGAGCCACGGAAATAATAATGAGGCTGGCTGGAAGGACTTTGTTGTATTGACTCACTTCAACCTCACAACAGCCCCGTGAGGTAGGGGGGTGTTACCACGATTATGGCTTCTATTATTCCTCCCATCACCCAGGGAACGTCTGAAGTTTACAGAGGGCCAGTGACTCACCTAAAGTGTTCGCCCAGCACGTGCTCGGTGCCCAATCTGACACCGTCACTCCCACACAGGTGCCTCCATCGACTTTGAGCAAACGTCTGCCACATACAACTACGACAAGGCTCGCTCCTGCTGGAACTGGATCCGGCTATGGAACTACGCGCAGCCCCCAGACGTGATCCTCGAGGCAGGGGGAATGGGGGGACTGGAGAGGGAGTATCAGGGTCCTGGGGGCAGGACCTGGAAGCAGACACTGGGGTCCGCACAAAGTGGGTGGGGGCCCGGTGTGGGGCTAGGGATAGGAACAGGAGACAGAGATGCGATAGGGGCAAGAGGCAAGAATAGACAGCAGGAACCACCAGGGGACTGGGCAGGAGCAGGGGCAGGCGCCGGGCAGGGACAGTCTGCTTTGGCACTGGAAGGGGGCCCTTCAAGACTTGAGGGTCAAGGAACCCTCGCAGCCCCAAGCAGGCCCCTGCCTGCCCTGCACTGGGCTGACGGGAAGGTTCATTCTTACTGTCAGCAATCAGGGGAGCTTCCTGGAGTTGGTGGCGCTGGAGTCAAGCTTTGTAGATGGAGGGATCCGGCTCACCCAGGAGGCAAAGGAGGTCTAGGAGAGCCAGGGTGGGATGAGGAATTCACCTTAACCCACCCACCCAGCATAGCCCCCATCGCACCTGCCCCTTCCAGCCCAACGTGACACCCGGCAACTGCTGGGCCTTCTCGGGTGACCGAGGCCAGGTGACCATCCGAATGGCCCAGAAGGTCTACCTGTCCAACCTGACGCTGCAGCACATCCCCAAGACCATCTCACTGTCGGGCAACCTGGACACTGCTCCCAAGGACTTTGTCGTTTACGTGAGCACATCCCCACAGGGAGCAATGCTTAACTAAGGAGACAGCCTCGTCTGGTGGGATTCCAGGCACTCTGTCGGCACAACCCAAGCAGGCTAGAGGGGCTGGATGAGGCTTAGTTAAGGCTGAGAATGGCCAGGTTCGGCGTTGATCACAGCCTTTAAGGATAGGAGATAAACAGCCACTTTATTTCAACCCAAGCTTTTCAGAGCCAATTTAGTCTTCAGAGACACTGATAAGGAAACTGAGGTGCAGAAAAGGGTCAGGGAAACACCCAAAACCTACAACTCAGTGGCATAATTAGAAGAGGACCCTCAGCCTTTTGATTCCCAATCCAGTGCTCTTTCCTATCTATTCCTCTGTGCTGCGATGCAGTGGTGCCCAAAGAGGTAGGGAGTTCCCCATCCTGGGAGGTATGCAAGTCTCAGCTGGAAAGGGGCAACACCCTCTGAAGGCCCTGCCCGTACCTGACCATTTTGCCTTGGTTCTGGTTCCACAGGGCATGGAAGGCTCTCCCAAGGAGGAGGTGTTCCTGGGGGCGTTTCAGTTTCAGCCGGAAAACATCATCCAGATGTTCCCGCTCCAGGTACCTGAGAAAGGCTGCCTACGTTGAGCACACAGCAAATGTGCACCATGTGCAGGGCTTTCCCCGGGAGCCCCATTTCATCCACCGACAGCCTCGCAGTGCACACTTGTCACTAACTCACGTGACAAACGAGGAAACCGAGGCTCAGAGTATGGAGCCACTGCCCAGGGCCAAAAGTGGGACCCGGAGGAGACCTGTCCAGCTTCTAGCAGTGCATTGTCTCCCTGATTTGCCCAGGAGCACTCCCGTGGCAGTTCCTCCCGTGGCAGTTCCTCCTGTGGCAGTTCCTCCTGTGGCAGTTCCTCCCGTGGCAGCTCCTCCTGTGGCAGTTCCTCCCGTGGCAGTTCCTCCCGTGGCAGTTCCTCCTGTGGCAGTTCCTCCCATGGACAGGAGCTCTTGAACAGGGGGACCACTTTAGCATCTCTGTACTGGGAGGCCCCATCATCAGCACCTGATCTAACCACAGCAGGGCAAACTGAGGCCTGAAGGGGAGGGAGTCGGGGACAGGAGCAGGACACAGCGGGGTGGCTGCTAGGATGGCCCTGAGACTCAGTGGAATGTCAGCACTTGGGAATCAGTGATACTGCTCCAAATCCTGGTACCACAAATCTGCATGATCTTGGGCCATTCCCTTCGTCTCTGCGCCTCAGTCTCCCCTGGTATAATTCCCTGGAAGGTTAAGAGCATCCAGAGAGATCTCAGAGGCCAAGCCCCAGCTTCTGCACCGGGCTCTGTCCCCTCTCAAGGAGGAGGCATGCTCACCGAGCATCTCCTACAGGCCAGCTAGCTCCAGGGTCTGGTCTCATGGGAAGATATTACCGCCCCCCCCCAGCCCATCTTACAGAGCGGGGAAACTGAAGCCCCAAGAGGGGCAGTGACTTGCCCCGGAGTCCCACAGCCATCTGTCCAGGGCCCCGAGGCTGGGACACTTTCCCCATCACAGTATATCTGTCTTTCTCACCTCAGTACTTTCCATCCCAACCCCTGAGTACCAACTTCCTGTGCGGCTTCGGGACAGTTCATTCCGCTCTCTGAGCCTCAGTTTCTCCACCTGTGAAATAGGAGGGTTCCCTTCCACTCCCAAACACCTCTCTGGACAGGCAGAGTGGAGGCCAATGGCCCCATGTCTGTGACTCTTCCAGAACCAGCCTGTCCGAGCTTTTGGTGCCGTCAAGGTGAAGATCTCAAGCAACTGGGGGAACCCACGCTTCACCTGCCTGTACCGAGTGCGCGTGCACGGCTCCGTGACCCCACCTCGACAGCTCTAGAGAGCAGCCTGCTCAGAGCTCCTACCCAGAGAGAGATTAAAGTTTATTCTTTGCAGCCCAGCCCAAGTCGGAATGTCTTTTTGGCTCCAAAGAGTGAGGGTGGGCTAGCATGTGACGTCTGAGGCCACACTTAGCGATTCTCAGTCTCATCCTGGGTGTCCAGGCACCCTCGCAACAGCCCCATGAAGCCCCATTTCACAGATGGGGACAGTGAAGGCACTGAGCAAAAACTTGCCAGAGGTCACAACTCACAAAGGGCAGCACCAGGATTCAAACCCAGCCAGTCTCATCCTTGTACATACGTCATCTCCCTGGCTTCGAGTCATGCTCTGCCCCTGACCAGGGGCGACTTTGGGCAAGACCCAGCCCTCTCGGGGCCTCACTCTCCAGGTGTACAACAGGAACAAGATTATGGCTGTTGTATTAGATGAGGTGGGAGATGAGAGGTCCCACCCTTGCCCAGCACAGAGTGTTTCAACATCACACAGACCATTTACTGGGTGGCATCAGACAGGACACACACCCTCTCTGGACCTCAGTTTTTCCAGGTATACACATATCTATTCCATGTTGTGCCTCCAAAGATAGTGTGTAAACAAAGTAAAAAGACAACCCACGGAATGGTAGAAAATATTTCAAATTATATAAGGGATTCACATCCGGAACATATAGACTCCTAAAACTCAACCACCACCACAACAAAAAAATCAATTCAAAAATGGGCAAAGGGGGCGCCTGGGTGGCTCAGTTGGTTAAGCGTCCGACCCTTTATCTTGGCTCAGGTGATGATCTCTCATTTCATGAGTTCGAGCCCCACATCAGGCTCTGCGCTGACAGCAAGGGGATTCTCTCCCTCCCTCTCTCTCTCTCTGCCCCTCCCTCACTCGTGTTCTCTCTCCCCCCACCCTCTCTCAAAATATATAAATGAACTTATAAAAAATGGGCAAAGGACTTGAATAGACATTTCTCCCAAGAAATATGCAATGGCCAATAAGCACATGCAACGTCACTAATCATTAGTGAAATGCGCATCAAAACTCCAGTGAGATCCCACCTCATACCCATTAGGACGGCTACTACAAAACAAAACAAAATCAATGCTTATTGTTGATGAGGATGTGGAGAAATCAGAACCCTTGTGCACTGTTGATGAGAATGTAGAAGGATACAGTCGCTGTGGAAAACAGAATTATCGGGGGCGCCTGGGTGGCTCAGTCAGTTAAGCGTCCAACCCTTTATCTTGGCTCAGGTCATGATCTCTTGGTTTGTGAGTTCAAGCCCCACCCTGAGCCGGGCTCTGTGCTGACAGTGCGGAGTCTGCTTGAGATTCTCTCTCTCCCCATCTATCTCTCTCTTTCTCTCTCTCTGCTCCTCCCTTGCACGCTCTTACTCTTTCTCAAAATAAATAAATTAAATAAACTTTAAAAAAAATAGAATTACCATACGATCCAGCAATCTTGCTTCTAGGTTTATACCCAAAGGAATTGAAAGCAGAGTCTCAAAGAGGTATTTGAACACCCGCGTTCATCACAGCATTGTTCGCAACAGCTAAAACATGGAAGCAACCCCAGCATCCAACAGCAGGTGAACAGATAAAATTTGACATATACATCCATACAACGGAATATTATTCAGCTTTCAAGAGGAAGGACATTCTGGAACATGCTACAACATGGATGAACCTTGAGGACATTATGCCAGATGAAATAAGGCAGTCACAAAAAGACAGACATGGTGTGATTCCACTTACATGACATCCTTAGCCAAATTCACAGAGACAGGAAGTAGAACGGCTGCCAGGGGCTGGGGGTAGGGGAGAATGGAGAGTTAATTGTCTAGTGGTAGAGAGTTCCCATCGTACAAAATGGAAAGAGCTGTGGAGATGGCTGGCGGAGACGGATGCACTTTAGTATGAATACAGTTAATACCACTGAACTGTAAATTTTAAAAGTTAAGATGGTAAATTTTATATTGCATGTATTTTACCACAATAAAATTTTGAAAAAAAAATCTATGAAATACCTTAAATCCTTTAACGGAAAAAATTTGAGATACTTCAGAAACATAAGAAAATCCTATAAATTCTGATAGCACATTCTGTCATTACTGTATACTATTAGAAACGCAGATGTAAATTTTTTTAAGTTGCTGTTCCCTGAAGCCGTCACTCATATTTTGCATGCAATATCTCTGCCTTAGCTGAGTCCCACCTGTTTAGTATTTACTCAAGAGCTTACAGAAATGCTAAACAGAGGGGCGCCCGGGTGACTCAGTTAAACATCCGACTTCAGCTCATGGTTCGTGAGTTCGAGCCCTGAGTCGCGCTCTGTACTGATGGCTCAGAGCCTGGAGCCTGCTTCGGATTTGTGACTCCCTCTCTCGGCCCCTCCCTGCTCACACTCTGTTTCTCTCTCAAAAATAAAGCATTAAAAAAAAATTTTTTTTAAATGCTAATAACAGTATCTACCGTGACTCTGTCCACAGAGCTCTCACACGGAGCATGGCACACAGTAGGTGCTGGGTAAATGATCACCAAGGTAATTGTCAACCTCCATCCCCATGCAGGTGATAGGAGGCCCAGTCCTCTGGGGGGAGAGGGGGTGACACTGCCCCTAAGCAGGGCCCCAGAAGGGGACAGGCTAACCAAACCGGAAAGGGCACAGGGACTGGAGTCTGCAAGGGAGGGAATTCATACGAGAAGGGGCAGACAGGTGTAAAGGCTGGCAGGGGTCCAGCTGGGCATTAGAAGGATGGATGAATCGGAAATGTGCTTGTCTCCTGGGAGGGCATGCTGGACTGGCACATGCCCTGTGCCAGAATCTGTCCCTCTGGACATCCGCCAGGCTCCTCACTAGCACCTGGCCCCAGGACCTGCCATCCAATGGTCTCCATGGTGGGATGGGCTTCAGGGGTCACCTCATAATCCTGCCACTCTCTGGCTGCTACCAGCAATCAGCGGACCAGGGAGAGACAAGTATCCAACCTGGCATTATTTCTGTAGATTTTATGAGAACCATTCTTGTTATTAAAAAGCTATACCGTACCAAGATTTGATGAAAAGCAGAGCCATAGACACCCCGCTTCCTCCTCCAAATGCCCCTCCCAGCCTCACTCTGATGTTCTACATATTTTCTTCCAGTATTTGTCTTTTAACTTTGTTTAGAGTGTATTTTGTTCAGCAGGGATTTTTGAAAATTTTATGTAGTTAAATCATCTTTTCCTTTATAGATTCTTAGTTGTATGCATTGTCAGGAAGGACCTGCCCAGTTCCAAGATTCTAACAATATACTCCTCCTCTTTCTTCTACTAATCTTATTATAGATATTACATATGTAAGAATAGATATGTGATAGATGATGGATATGCTCTGTGGTGCACACACACAAGGTTCAGATGTATAAAAGCTCTTCCGTGCATCTGGAATTAATTTTCGTGCGTGGTGTGAGGTAGGGGTCTAGTTTAATTTTTGCTAAATTACTACCCAAAGGCCACAGTATGGTATCATTATTGAATAGACTATCTTTCTTCCGTAGCTTGGAAACAGAGTCAATGCACAACTTCTGGTCTCTTCTTCACCGAACCCCCCGCCTCACCCGCACCAACACCATACCTTTTGAGTTACTCTAGCTTTGGAACACGCGTTGGTGTGTGTGCTTTCACGAGCACCCCGCTCTTTATTTCTGTTTCTCAGACTCTTTCTCTTCCAGACAAACTTCCCAATCAGCTTGTCAGCCAAGTGGCGTTCTTTTTGGGAGAGTAAAGCTCTTGCCCATGTCAGGTCCTCGCTTCCTGGAACATGGAATCTTCTCTCTGTGTCTTCAGATTTTCCTTCAGCGGCTTTAGCAACGTGTCATTGCTTTCTTCGTATGAATTCTGCGCTTTTTTGGTCAGATTTAATCCTGGATGTTTTACCAGCAGTAGGGAGATTGCCAATGGGATCTTTACCCTCGGGGACGTTTTCTATGGTTTGGGCAGCTGTGGAGGAAACCCCTGCTGTTTGACATTCACGTGGCACTCCTCTCCTCCATGGTCCCCACCCTCTGGAGGATTCCGGTAGATTCTCCCCAGTGTTCTGGAGGGACGTTCATGTCACCCCCACAAACATTCCATGATGCCCAAGTGTGCTCATACCCACCACCTCATCTCGTCCCCACAGCACCCCTGCAGATGAGGAACCGGGCCTAGGAGAGGCAGAGCCACTGCCTCAGGTCACACAATGAGTTATGGCGGGGCTGTGACACCAGCCCAGCCCTCAGGCCCCAGAGCCCTTACTCTCCCTTCAACCCTTCCCACAGTCATTTCAAATTCCAGCACCTTCGGGTGTACCGACCGTGGAACCATGAGTAGAGGGCAGGATTCCTGCGTTTTGTCCCAGCTGGGCCCCGAGAGCTGTCTGGTCGCCTCATCCCACCCAGGTCTCCCGTGCAATGACACAGATGGCACGGAAAGGCAGTGCCTAAGGCGCTTGATCCACGGGGAGCCTTGCTCTTCGTGAGGGCACCCACGGCTTCAGCCTGGCCCCCCTGCCTGGATGATCAGGCTTCCCTTTATTCACCTGTGTCTCCCCTTCCCCTGCCGCCCAGCCCATCTCCAAGGTCAAAGGGCTCTGGGTTGGTACGGTCCACAGTGCACTTAAATGCACAGATAAGGGGACAGGCCCTGAGAGGGACCCAGTCTCATCCAAGACCCACAGCAGAAACCCATTAAGCCCAGCAGGGGGCAGGGGCTGTCCCTTCCCTGGAGGGGCTCCTTGCTGTGGCAGCATCCTGCAGGAGAACAAAGGCCACCCCTAGGCTTCATTCCCCCCCACCCTCAGTCCAGGTCCACAATGCACAAGGCTGGCTGCCTGCCCGCCACTTGGCCCACCCACGGGACTGGAGCAGAGGAGTGGGCCGCCGGCCAGGGTGAGAGTCTGCTCTCTGCAGCGACCAAGGCAGAACCGGAGGTAAAGGGTGCCAAACCACGCCGCTAAGGCCCCCAGAATGGCGCCTCCACCTCCG